AACAAAGTCTTCTTAAATAGGGAAGGGTGGAGGGGGTGAAGGGAGAGCAGGGACATGGGGAAAAACTAAGAACCAAGATACATCAAGTAAAGGTACAAATCCCAATGATGAATGTAACTGTATTGTATACCTAAAAAGTACCGATAAACTCAATGAGGAAAAAATAATGCTTCCTTTATAAACCTTGCCTGCATCAGCCAGGTATCCATGGAAACTACATGGAGTCCCTTCACACAGCCCCTTTACCTCAACCTAACTGTGATGTCACTCGTAAATATCAATGCTCTGGGTGTTCAGGGCCTTGGCTTGCTCAAACTCCTGACTGCTCAAGCACTGGGCATCCTGGCTACTTGTATCTGTCTCTTTAACTCTACCTCTGTCTTTCTTCTTGCCTTGCACTGTAGCTCTGAGAAGATTTGAACCCACTGCAGGGGTTCCTGTTTTAGGACACACATGGCTGGGAATTTAGCTCCATGGCGCTGTACCTGCCTCACAAGTGCAAGGTCCTGAGTTCGATCCCTGGTACCCCCACCCCCAGCCCAAAGTCCAGTGATTAGGACACGCAGCAAGTAGTTGGAGAATGCAGAGTTTGGATTATCAAGAATCACAGCATCTTTACACATAATATCCCTGAATGCGTGCTAGTGATTTATTTGGAATTATCTTTCATTTAAAAATGACCATCAGTCATGTTCACTGTTACTAGCAGTCCATTTTATGCACAATAATTATTAAATATTGTTTGAAATACTTTTAGGAGAATTTTTGTTTCTGGCTTTTTTGTTCCAAAAAGGGTTTCCTTCTTTTACAACATTCATGTTTTTTCTTTATATTTTATTTATTGTGTTGGTGATTTGTTCCAAACCAGAAAACATCTATGGACGCATATTAGGATGTTTACATTTAGGTCGTACATTAAGTTGCTCTTTCCTGGTAAGAGTGCTATACCATGCTTCTGCCTTGCAAGAAGGGTCTGCCAGCTGGGGTCTTCCTGGTTACTGGGCATCTGTGTCCCCCCAGAAATCTCCACAGGGCAAGGGGTGGTGATGCCATATGCTGTGGGTTTTTCTCTCATGTCGGTTAAATACTGCTAAGATTTATTATGCTGAATAATTTAGAGAATATGTATGATCTGCTTACTCGTTCACTTTTAGAAATAAAAAGATGAGGTTTGCTTTGTGTTTTTCTAAACAGCTGCTCACGATGATCTTTTGGCAATAATTATGATTTTAAAAGTCTTGTTCTTAAATATTATTTATCTTGATGACTGAGTTTTGGGCTCTTCCTCTTAAATTTTGTGTCCCACTGCATCTGTCTTGCTGCTCAGCGTGCTTCTGGAACAGAAGTCCTATTGGCCAGAGTTGCATTCCAGCCTTTTACGGAAGAGGACTGATGGGTTTCCGGGCACGGCTCCTCCTCCTTGAGTTCTTAGTGACTACATGACATTCTGCAGCAACTCTGAGGTTTGGGAGAGGGAGGAAATGGGGAAAAGCAGGCCAAAGGGTATGGATTGGCCAGCAGGTGGGATGAATAAGAGATTTAATGTACAGCATTAGGACTACCATTCACATTCTTCTGTTTGATGAAAATCTGCTGAGAAATCATTCCAGGTGCCCTCACCATGTACACACTCAGAAGCTAGGTATGGAATGCGATGGACATATACATTTCCTTGCTCGTAGTAATCAATTCAGTTGGATACATTCATCCAAACGTGTTGTACATCTTCATTATGCACGACAGATATAAACTTTTTAAAGAGAAACTTTGTGTTTTAGATTCCATACATAGCTGAGATTATACGGTATTTGTCTTCTGGAAACTCGCATATTTCACACAGTTTAACGTCCTGTAGGTTCATTTATGTTGAAAGTGGCAAAATATCCTTCTTTTAAAAGACAAAATAGGGCTGGGTCTTTTAAAAGACAAAATAGTGCAGTGTTTCCATCACCTGCTTCTCAAGCACAAGGTCCCGAGTTCAATCCCGGGTACCAAAAAGAAATAAATAAATAATAAATAAATAAATGACAGAATATATGCTTTTTAAAAAGGAAACATCAGTATAAATTTTGAGCCTTATGAAGGGAAGCTATATAGATGAAATGGCAGCCTCTGGAGATAGAATGATCTATGCAGAAAAGCTTGATGCTAGGTTGTAAGTTAGAAGTGCATCATTTTGAAAGGTCTGACAGAGCCCACTCTGAGCGAGCTACAGGTTCATAGACTGGCTTTTCATGTCAAATGTCTGAGTCTGCCTATTGTCCCACACTGGCCGCCTGCAGAGCCAGCCGTTGGTGTGCTGCAACGGGACAGCTCCCCACGGCCCTGGTCATAGCAGAGGCTCAGTGACCTGTGACGCCGTGACATCTTGGATGGCAAGACAATACCGCAGCCAAGGGCAACATGAGTCATACATGACACTTTTGTAGAAATGGAAATTAATCTATGGGGGGAAAACAAATTTCCCATTAATCTATGAGCTGTTCCTGCTGTAGTCTCGTTCCCTTACTGCTAGGAACCTGCTCGTCGGTGCTCTCCACATCACTGTCCCCTATGCCGCCCCTCACCCCTTCAAGAAGTTATGTGTTCAGTAAATAGTGGAAAGTGCCAGGAGCTGGGGTCTTGGACCAGTGAGAGCTCTGACCATCCTGGGCCCCCACTGGTTCAGTGAAGAGCTTGCCTTTTGTCATCCTGCCACAGTACCCTTGGTCAGATGATTGGAAGTTGAGTGGCTTCCAGTAAAGGGGCACCTCTGGGGGTGACCAAAGATACATCCTGACCTAACACTGAATGGATAGATATTAAAGTAGATTTACCCCACGTGGAGATTAAAGTTTGCTATCAGTATCTTTGGAATACATTTGGAGGCTGTAGGGAAAACAAATTAGAAATTTACCTTAAGCAATCTAATAATAAGTACAAATATATTAGGAAAGTTCAACACTCACCTTTTAAAAGTGTGATATTCTCATGTAAGAACCAGAATCATCAGCACTGCCAGCTGGCCAGTTGCTCTGAAGGTATTGGTAACACTGTGCAGGTCAACGGAAGGCAGGAAAAGAGTGCAATATTTGGTGATTTCTTCATTTATTCTTAATAATTTCTTCTTCCTGCCATACAGATGATAATTTATTATATTCAGGTTGATGATAATACTCATCATGATAACATAGGAGAAATATAACTTTCAACCTGTTAGATGCCAGATGCGTTGAGTTTGTGTCCCCTGAAATCACACTATGAATAGGGACAATGGAGGTTAAAAGGAGGAAAAATTTATTGAGACAGAGACAGACAGAAAGAGAAAGGGCTCCTGAGGGATAGGAGGGTTCTAGAGTGGTGGCCACTGAGGCCCTTTGTTGGGGTAATTCATGCAGCAAAGTCACAGTGTGGGTACAGCAGGGGTCAGACTACAACTGACCTTTAGGACTACAGGTATAGCCGGCTAGCTAATGTTGGGTCGTGCAGCAAGGGTGCAAGGAAAGAACAAAGGCATTTTTGGGAAGGGATGGGTCCAGTGCTCTGGCCACCTACCTGGGTACCTGATGCCTATCTGGACTTCCTGGACCAGGTGGTGCTGATTACAATATAATCTCAAGTTACTGCTTATCCTGTAGGGAGAATGTAGGCCTGGCCATTGCATCCTTTTCTTGAGGCCCGGTTTCTTCAGATGAACCTCCAGCCACAATTTTGATGTCTTTATTTTTTACTGACTTCCTTGAAAGCCCAGTCAGTCCCTCTCTGGCTACATTAATTTCTATCTAAATTAGCTGCTTATAATGTGATTTGGAAGATTTTCTTCTTTGTCAGAATTTGAAGTAACAGTGTTGACATTTTCCTCATTCTGCTTGGTGAGTTCCTACAGAATTTTTTAAGTACTGTGGGTTAAATGAAATAAAATAACTCAGCGCAGCTATTAAAGGTCATTATGTTTACCACAGTTCTGGCTTTATCAAAAAATTACCACTTTGATACAATCTAATTTATCATTCTGTGTTATAAAATTACCTAATTTTATTACATAATTGGTGGCTAAAATTTGTTTTCCCTAGTATTATTTAAATAATATATGCTCAGTATTTATATTAACTCTCAAACTATTTTTCTACTTACTTTAATATTTAAAAAGGTTTTGTATTGTATGTTCAATGAATAGGTTTAACAGTCATTAATCACAGAAGTATATGCAAAAATGCTCTTGCAAGATGTACTTCTAATTTTTTTTAAAAATTCTCCTTATTTTGGTAAAAAAATGATAGCATTAGCCAACACCCAGGCTAGACATGCTCCAGTGTTCACAGCCATTCTGGGCTTTGGGAGCAAGATGTCAGGTTCCATGTGGGTGACTACCTGTTTTCTCCTCCTTCTGAGTCAGGCAGCACATTAGAAATACCATCTCTTAGGGCTGGGGATGTAGCTCAGTGGTGCTGCCACCTGCCTCGCAAGCACAAGGACCTGAGTTCCAACCTCAGTATGAAAGAAAAGAAAAAAAAGAAAGAAATACCATGTCTTCCAGGCATTCCACGAACCCACATTACTGATCAAAGATAAAAGTTGCACAACAGGCCTTGCATTTGATTTAGATTATTCTCCATGCAAATCCTGCAGTTTGGAACAGCGAGGCCCTGGAGGGTGGACAAGGAAAGTTGTGAGACTGTGCAAAGCGAGGCTGGGGTGAAAGAGAAAATGTGTCCACCCCCCCACCCCCCC